TTTCAAAGTGACGGCTCATGCTCTGTCCCCATCTTGTCGTGTTTGGATCATTCTCATCTGTAATAAATAAAACTATAATATATACTGAAATAACTACAAAAAAAGTGTTTTCTTTTTTGTCAAATAAAAGAACGGATATTTCCGTCGTATCACATAAAAAGTTTACTTTATATTATTGAGATGAAAAGGTTGAAACAAGAAGATATTTTTTGTTTTGTTATTTTCTTGAAAGTTATGTTTTGTTATTTTTTAGAACTTCAAGGGCCATTCTTTTCGAATGTGTTAAAAGAATGAAAAAAATTTGGTGGTTGATTGAAAACAATCTTTCTATTCGACTTATAATGATTAATGTTATAATTTTATGATAAAATTGAGTAATCATTACATATATACTCCTATGATATTTCATCCACTAAGAGTCACAATATATTTTAAGTATTTATATGAACAAATCGAAATATATTTAATATGGTAATTTGGTATTTAATGACGAAATACGGAACAAGGACTTTAAAACATTTTTATTCCTAAAACATTTCACATTAAAATAATTTAGAATCTCATGTGCAATTTGCTCATAATTTTGTGGATGTGAATGAGAGACATGTAGGTGCATTCTCACCTTCATGCTTGAGTGGGTTAAAAGTACGGAATGTATTCCACCGAATGCTTCTTTAGTTTCCTAGCTAAAATTAAGATTGTATATAAAAAGAGTGATTGATTATACTTAATTAAGAAAGAGAACCTAAATTTGTACGGCAAAAGCACTTAATGATGGGTTAAATCAAATACTTTTGTTGTCTAATCATCTACTAATTGATGTTACCCTAACATGGTTTTATTTCTTGCTTAAACAATGTTGATTGTGGTGGATGAATAAAGAATATTCCCATCTTGTGTTATAAAATGGTTCCCATTAATTTTATTCATTTCTTGTGGAAAACTATACCATTTTAAGAATTACCCTAGCTCGAAGAATGGTATCATTCATAAGGGATTGTAAATTTACTAAGTAAACTTTACACTGAAATAAGTTGTGATTTAAGTTTAAAATATTTATATTACTATTAGGGATTGGAAGTTGGGGGCGGATCTAGAGGATTGATTATTGGTTAATGTAAATTTAAAAGTTTTTTTAGATGGATCTGAAAAAATTGATAGCACTTTGAGTGATCTTTCGATTATTAATAAATTTTAATTTTAATTCTTGCAATATTTAACTAGGCAAAATTTGACTTTCAATTATTTGAAAGGTACAATTTTGATTCTTTTATTTGTAAATAGTCTAAAATTTTCTAAAGTACTTATCGCTAAACCATTTAGTTACACATGCATTGTGTTAAAGTTGTGTTGTTACATATATGAGTGCAATGTGCTTCTAAAATTAATTTATATATAACATTCTAGTTCCTACATAAAAAAGATTAAAATTACACGTTCAAATAATTAAAAATAATAATAACTAAATATCAAAGGAATCAAAATTAAATTTTAATAATAATTGAGGGGGACTAAAAAATAATTATCCTATCAATTAATATTTATTTGTAAATTTAGTTATTTTTATCATATTAATTTAAAGTTCTTATGGAATCACTATAAAATTCTATCGTGAAACTTTAAATTTTGAATTCGCGAAGATATTTCCTCTTCTATAGTCTATACTAATGAAACTTTTATTCTTTAAATACTAACCAAACTAAATTTAGGAAGAGGAAAAGAGAACCCCAAAACGACATGATAATCTTTTTTTCATTTTTATGTTAAAGTGTATCAAACAACATGATTATATTTTCTTTAAGAAATTAGAAGTTACTATTTCTTTATCCCTATTTTTTTAGTCTTTTGTTTTTAATACCATACAAAAGCCTACCGCAATTATAGTTACGTGCCTAATTATCTGACTGAACGTAAATGATAAAAACATAGAATCTTTTATTTCGGCTAGAAAAAGATTTCCATTAAAACATTCCATTTTATTTGGAGTCTTTATATATGGATAAGGCAAAGTAATCTATTTTTTCCCCTTACTCTTTCTAATGAATTCTGAGCACCGACAATGCATAATTCTTTTTATTCCATTTGGTAAAATTTACTTATTATAAAAGATATTGACGTTTTTTTCAGATGATTCAGTTAATTTGGACTTTTGGAGGACGATGCGGATGATTTGGGATCGATTCCATCAGAATGTCTTTTGAGTTGAGTCTGCCGTATAGAGTTTTGTTGAGTGTGGTTTACATCCTCTGTGATATTACGTGTTTGGTTAAACTTTTGAGAAATAAAATATATTTGTTTATATATTTAAAAAGAATAAGGTGTTTGACTAAGCTTTTGGGAGATTAATAATATTTATTTTTTCCCAAAAAAAATCATTTTAAAAAAAGTGAGGTATTTGACTAAATTTTCGGGGAGACAATAAATGTTAATGGGATAAATAACACTTTCGAGAAAAACATACGTAATAGCAACTTTTAGAAGTTTGGGTAAAATACAAATTAATTCTTACATTTTTTTTAAATAATAAAAAAACATTTTTTAAAATTAATTAATTTTTAAAAGCTTAATCAAACCTAAACATGTTGATATTAAAATTAGTCAATCTCCATTTAATTACTAATTAAATTGCTGTTATTCCATACTATTAATATTTCAAATACAACATACTTTTTACATTATTTTTTTTCAAACACATCTTTCAATTGATTAAAGATTAAAAATATATTTCGTCATCTAACATGTTCTTGAATTAATACAGCAAGTAATTTTCAACTGTCAATGTCTTAAAAAAGCAATTAAATTCTTCAAAACCCCATAAAAAATCACGTGATTCACTATATTGTTGGAAGTACCAAACAACCAATTAAGGGGTCAATTTATTTATTTTTGGTTTCAATCACTCGAAACAAATCAGAATTGTCCCTCTATTATTGAGGGACATCCTTGTTCTTCTCTCATCATCATCATCATTATTATTATTATTATTATTATTATTATTATTATTATTATATTAAATATACATGCAAAATAAATTCCACGTCTCATTAATTATATAAAGAGTTAGATAAGGATATATTTTATTTTATTTTGTCTTTTAGCCTAAGTAGTAAAAGCAAACAAAATTTCCTTTGGACTAAAGTCTTTAACGTAATTTCCACAAACTTTGGTTGTCATTATTTGATCAATTCTTCTCCATCTACTACGTAGTATACTTTTTAGACGTGTTTGACCTATCAGTATTCTAAATTTCTTTGCCTTGACATAAAAAGTTTTTCAAAAAAAAATAAGAGAGTATTATCTCCCATGAAAATAAGTTAAAATAAATTAAATAAGTGATATTTTCTATTGATTGATCTACTTTCATCATCTTGAGAGTCTGTTTAGATTGATTTATTTTAAATGATTTAAGTTAGAACAGCTTTTAAATATACTTATTTTTAAGTCAAAATAATAAAAATAAGCCATTAACTATAAATTAGACTTTAACTTATAAGTCATAAGCTATAAATCTAGTCAAAAAGTTCTAACTCTCCGCCCACCTTGCCTAGACTATGGTCAAAATAATATTATTCTACTTATTTTCAAAATATAAAAAATAAGTACTTAATTATTTATTTTTAATGAAAATATTTTTCTTGAAAAACATCTTCTCCCTTTCATATCAAGCACACCTTCAAACATTAAAATATTCCACACGTTTTTGCAATATTAGTCTTGTGGATTACAAATTAGGGTAGGGAATATTAGTACTAAAATTTGACTTGTTTTTCTTGCTAGCTAGGACATGTACTTATGTTGTGAACGAAAGAATATTTAGCTCAAATACGGCACTTATAATTATCAAAACTTACAATTATTTGAAGGAAATCAATTTCATAATGATATCTAATCAATTTAATTATTCCCAAAAATAATATTTGTCGGTCTAACTTTAGAAAATTTGAGGGTACTACCAAGGAGGTAATGTAGATGCTAGTAAAATTAAGACTGCAATTTCATCTTTGGGGAATAACCTAAAATATTTCATTGTACAATTATTTACTTAAAATCATTTTTAAACGTTTGATTGAGTTAAAATGTGTTGTTATATGTAAATTGCTTTAAACAAGATTTGTGTGATGAATTCGATCAAAAAATTAAAGCATGTATGAAATTTCGAACCTATGCCTCAATCACCCTGGCAGGTGTGTTTAAAATATGTTTTGAACTATGTACTGATAAGAAAAATTATCAATGGCTAATAAATTAGCCAAATTACTTCTTCTATTATTAATTGGGTAAAATATAGCAATGTAGAAAAATACATTTTAGCAATTCAAGTCAAACACTATAAAATAATTTCAACAAGAAAAAAGTCTCTTTTTTTGGAAAAACATTTGTGCATTACCATATATAGTTTCCCTTTATTTTCAAACTGTTTGACCAATATGTGAAAATGCCTTTTAAAACTAACCATACATTTAATGAATAAGCATAATTATTTAAATAATCTTACCAAATAGATTTGGTTTGTAAACACATCATTACAGACTTCCTTAGAATAACTCAATATCCAATTGATCACAAAATCAAATCATATATCAAATGTTTGAATAAGTAAAAAGTTTAATTATGTGAAAAAACTTAATAGAAGACTTTATTTAGACATATAATGAAAATAACTTAATAGAAGACTTTATTTAGAAATATAATAAAATGAAAACAACTTAATAGAATACTTTATTTAGAAATATAATAAAAATAAAATCAAAATGACTAGATTTTTTTTTTAAAGGGTAGATTTTTCACAAACATGTGTCTCCACTAGATGGAATATAAATTAATAAACTACATTATCTAAATCTACAAAATATATAATTCCTATATTACCCAAAAATGAAGCCACCTACCCTCACATAATTACCAAATTGCCACCTTATCTCTACCTTAAACCTAAATATATTTTTTTTGTTCCTCATTTTATATTGTCCTGTCCTTCCTCCTCTCTCTCTCTCTCTCTCTCTCTTTGTAAGCATTTTTTTTTCTTCCTCAAAAAATCAACTTTCTCTCACTATATATCTATATATCTCTATAGTTTCGATTGTAGCAAAAAAAAAAAAAAACTTTAATTATATAGGACCTTAATTTCCCCAAAAAATCAGAACCCCAGAATCAGTTCTTGTTCTTCTTGTTGTTGTTTTTCTTGGATCATGTAAAAAAGACCCATTTGGATTTGGATCTTGATTTGGGGATTTGATTGAATTGGGTTTTGATTGGAATTCGGGTTTTTCAGCCATGACCCGTCGATGTTCACATTGTAGTACCAATGGACATAACTCAAGGACTTGTCCTAATAGAGGTGTGAAGTTGTTTGGGGTCCGATTGACTGATGGGTTGATCCGAAAAAGTGCTAGTATGGGTAATTTGACCCATTTTGCTAGTGGAAGTGGAGGTGGTAGTACACCTCTAAACGGTGTCGTTCATGACTCACCTGGTGATACACCTGATCATCCTGCTGTTGGTGGTGGCTCTGCTGATGGTTATGCTTCAGAGGATTTTGTTGCTGGTTCTTCATCTAGCCGTGAAAGGAAGAAAGGTTTGATCTTTTTTGAGTTTTGATAAGTTTTCTTGTTTTGGGTGTTTGTGAAAATTGCATTTTTGTGGTTCTTGATTGCTTTAAATGCTTATAAAGCTGATTTTTTTATTTTATTTTATGAATTGTGGTTAAAGTTTTAATTTTTAGAGTTTTGGTGTTTGGTGCTGTTGTTGTTGTAGATGAACGAAAAGAGATATGTTATGAACATGTTTTTTCAAGTTGATGAGTTTAATCTGTAATTTTGTATGTATTGAAGAAAACAAAAGATCTTGGGAGCTTTCTGTTTGGCAAAAGTGGACCTTTTTGCTCAATTCAATTTGTTGTCAACTAGTAATTCAATCAAAGAATGTGGTTCTTATTCTTTTTGTTTCTTATTGCAAAACCTTGCCAGTTTATGAATTGGGTTTTTTTCTAAGTTCCTTATTTTTTTATATTTGAGTTAACTCATTTAATTACTCTTGTCGATAGAATGCGATTATGAGTTTTAGGTCAAGTTATTTTATTCGGTCACATTCCTCTTTGGCTCAGTAATTCAGACATAGCATAAAAATGATTGATCATAAGGCTTTATTTGAGTTGCTTGAAATTCTAATTTACTATCTTCTGGTGTTGTTTGAATGACTTGTTAGACATCCATTTGACCTGCTCTGTTAAATGAACACTGAGAATTTCGTTGGCATAATGCTTGAGCTCCCTGCAATTTTTTCTCTCTTCTGATGATTTTTACAATGTGAAATGGGTGGAGATTTGTGCATTCTTAACAATCTATTCTCATTTCTAGAGAGAGAGTGTGTGAGTGGATGAAAGTGACCTGTATTTTCTTTCTTAGCTGTATTAAGCTTTGTAGATTTGCTACTCTTCATCCTTTGCAGAAGCACTTCTCATTTCGGAAATTTTGATTTTCAAATTATTAAATTTTTTCTCCTTTATGGTGGTTATGTTTTTTCAGAAGTGCTGAAGTTGATATAATTCCTCATATTGCTTCTGATGAATTTATATTGCAATTGGTTTTCTTGCTATGTTGGTTCTTGAAATTACTGTTTTGTTTTTGTTTTTGAAACTGGTAACATTGGATCTTGAAATAACTTTAAAATATAATTGCAGGGGTTCCCTGGACTGAGGAGGAGCATAGGATGTTTCTACTTGGTTTGCAAAAACTCGGTAAAGGTGATTGGCGTGGAATTGCTCGTAACTATGTGATCTCTAGAACACCCACCCAGGTGGCAAGCCATGCCCAGAAATATTTCATTAGGCAAAGTAATATGTCAAGGAGAAAAAGACGCTCCAGTCTGTTTGATATTGTTGCTGATGAAGTAAGTAAATTCTCACTTATAGATAATTATAATAATGTGCCCCTTAAAGTTTTATAGACCTTAATTGTCACCATGAAATTGTGAACTTGTTATTTTTCATAAAAGGTGTTGTCTTTTGTTCTATCTTAATGATTCTCTATTACTATAGTTCTCTTGCAAAATTATCATTTTAGTTCTGTTCCATACTGCTATCATCTGCTATGTCAAAGACACACATGCCTGTATGCTCTACCATCATACTTTTGGATTGAATATGTTTCCAGTGAATTTTCTTGTAATGTTTATTTATTTTTTTCTTTTTGTTAATACCATAGTCGGGGGACACTCCAATGGTATCAAGGGATTTCCTCGCAGATGATCCTGCACAAGCTGAGATGCAAAGCAACAATCTGTTGCCTCCTACTCCTGCTGTGGATGAAGAATGTGAATCAATGGGTTCAGCAGCTTCTGCCAACTCCATCGATGGGGAACATGCTCTTCCTATACCAGAAAGCTCACAATATCAGCATCCACTTGTTTATCCTGCTTATGTTGCTCCATTTTACCCGATGCCTTATCCATGCTGGCCAGGTTACACTGCAGAGCCAGCAATAGCTGAGACCCATGAAGTTCTGAAGCCAACAGCTGTTCATTCAAAGAGTCCAATTAATGTTGATGAGCTGGTTGGTATGTCAAAGCTAAGCTTAGGTGAATCCATTGGTGATGCTGCCAAGCCACCTTCTCTGTCACTAAAGCTGGTCGAGGGCTCCTCCAGGCAGTCAGCTTTCCATGCTAATCCGTCATCTGGTAGCTCAGGCATGAACTCTAGCCACAATCCAATCCATGCAGTTTAGTGGGGTGCATTCACATGATATGTTTCCTGTTAATATATGAAAATGTTCTCTAGTTTGGTTGGTTAGTTATAGTTCTATTTGTTGGGTCGATCTTAATAAGACTGTTTAGGTGTTAACTGCTTAGTTGGCAATACTCATAGCTTTGTAGGCACTCTTGTTTTGAAGTATTCAAGTTGTTGACTTTGAGTCGAAAAATTTCCTTCTCCTGCTTGATATTCTTTTAATTGTTGGTTTAGATTGTCACAACTGTGATTATCGAGATAGTGGAAGTCCATTTTTCCAGCTTAAATTTAAAGAAACAGGGTTTCTTCGTTCTCTGCCTGTTTCCCTAATCTGGCAGCGCACGTAAAAGTTTGTGGAGATGTGAAACTGTAGTTCTGTGGATGAATCGATTATTAAATGAAGTTGTGTGCAAGTATTTTTTAGCCAAGTAATAGTATCAACTTGTCAAAGAGTATGACTAGTACATAATGAAGATAGTAAAGAGGGTGATCCTATCTGAGCTTTATATCTTGATAAGGTGCTACGGAGTCTTCTTGGATCTGAATGTTGGGATCCCATCTTAATATATTCCGGTATAGAAGTTCTGTACTGGGCTGTTGATAAGTTCATGTGGAGAAAGCGAAGGACGAGTTAAAGATACTGGTTTTCTGTCTTTCCTTGTAGGTATGACTCCTGAAGGAACTGAGCAACAGTAAACTGATGCAGCCAATACCATGTCATGCATGCAATTCGAGCCACGCACCAGCTACTGTGCGAATAGAAGGAATGATAGAGAAGGTCGAATGATATTAGAGAGGTCAACGACATTGGACCAAGTTTTGGCGTCGTACTATGCAGAATTTTAGCATGGTTGGAAATGTGATGTTGAGAAGTCTTGGAATAGTCAGTGACATGTTTGTTGGATGCATTTTAAGTGGAGATTTAGCTTTCATCTGCAATTTGAGTTTTGCAGAAATCCCATTAGTGTTTAGGAAAATGAATGCTATGATGGAAAGGAAAGCCTAGCATTAAATTGGGTGAACTGTGGATGGTCTGCATTTAAGACACTGAAAAAGTGGTAGTAGAAAAGATGCTAAGTATCTTCTTGCAATATTTGCCATAAGTGAAATAGTCAAGTTGTGCGCAAGCTGAAAAGATGTTATGCGACACTAAAAGATTTATTGAAGTTCATAGTTGGACTTAGTGGAAAGAGTTACTTGGTGAATGTGGCATAGTGGACCCTGTGAAATAATTGAGTTGTGCGCAAGTTGAAAAGATATTATGCGACACACTAAAAATCTATTGAAGTTCATATATAGTTGTACTCGGTGGATCGAGTTACCTAGTTAATGTGTTGATGGGATAGTGGGCCCTGTGAAATAGTCGAGTTGTGTGGAAGCTAGTTCAGACACTATCTTTATCAAACAAAAAGTTGGTGGGGGATGGTGAGACCTACTAAAAGATCTATTGAAGTGCATAGTTGTACTCGGTGGAAAGAGTTACCTGGTGAATGTGTTGTTGAGGATAGTGGGCCCTATGAAATGGTCGAGTTGTGTGGAAGCAAGTTCAGTGGGACCTCTGAAATAGTCGAGCTGTATGGAAGCAATGTTTGTATCTGTAGTTATGGATCATCTATATGAGAAAAGCTTAAGCTGTGAAATAGAGAATTAAATCCCCTCTAACCAAAGATTAGATATGTAGGTGCTTACTATTAAATTATCAATTGCTTGTTTACTTAATTTTTACTATATTGTTTGATTCTAGAGAAGTACTTTTCAATATTTCTTGAACAATTCCAGTAAAATGTGACCTTATATATAATTGATTACATGCAAAAAAATGAGTTCATATTAAAGTACCATCTACAATTCAAAACTTTAAGATTTAATACTTATATTTTTCTTCAATGAATATCATTCAAGATACAGTAATATTTTTTTCGATTCGTGTTATCGGTTTTGATTTGAACAGCCCATATTTAGTAATGTAAGTCGGTTGGACTAGAGATGTGTTAAAATGGACTGGCCCAACAGAACTCACGTGGGCTATAGATTTTATATGTCCAATCCAATGTAACTCCAACCACAATCATTTGAAAGGTTGAGTTGCTCATGGTAGATTTGTCCATGAATATAATTTTAGAGGCGTCAAATAGGTGGGTTGAACTGAATTTAGGCGAGTCAAAATGGATTGAGTTAATTAATTTTGCACCTCTAAAGCTAACTACGATAAACTCTTATTCATTCTGTTGCGTCTGCCATTAAAGTTCAAACATAGTCCACGTTAATAATTTCTTTCAATTGTATATCTAGAAGACTAACACTTTGTTTGAATAGTTGTGTACTTGCTTACTAATATATCGACAGTATGTTTGCACATGAGCGTGTGATCTATTGGTCATTGAAGTGTGAGTTGAGAATCATGAAGTCTCGTAGAAAGTACCTGTAGAATTAGTGAAGGTGTGCAAACTGATTCTATATTGGAGTTATAAAAAAAAGTCATATACTCTCTTTGTTTCATTTTCTTGGTCTTACTTTTTGTTTTAGTTAGTTTTGAAATGATTGTTTCTATTCTTTTTTTACTACTTTTTTATTCTAGCTTTTCTATTTGAGAAGTTTAAAACCACAAGATTAAATGACATTTTGATAAATTTTACGTATCTCAAAGATCATAAGATTCAAAAAGTTCTTTTTATCAAGTAAAACTTGGATATATAAACGAGAAGAAATCACCAAAAAAAATTGGGCAAAATATTATCATCATAGAGTTTTGAGTTTGGCATTATGTCAACTTCTCATGTTTTTAGTGATGATAAATAAGTCGGCCTTCCTATGACATTGCTTTAAATACGATTCTTAAAGGTCCCCAAAATAGTATAATTTCTCGTTTTATATTAGTTGATCATTTCTGTAAAAATATTTATTTCATATTAATTCTCTATTTTATTAAATAAAAAAAGTATTAATTAAAGTTTTTCTACATTATCCTTACAATTAATTCTTTTGAAAGTATTCACATCTATTTATAAACAATTCCCAAGAAATCTTTTCTTACTGATAATTTCTTGATGTATATAAAAGGGAGAAGTTCAAAAATACCTTTAACGTATAGGAAATGGCTCAAAAATGTCCTTCCATCCACATATTTGAATAAAAAATGCCCTTAAGGTTAAGTTTAAGCCTAAAATTACCCTTCCTTTTAACAGAAGCTGATGTGGCATAAATGATTTTTTAAAATTAATTATGTGGCATTATTTTTAGTATAAATTATAGGAACCACATATTATAAGTACTAAATAACATTCTATCCCTTCTAGTTTTTTATTTACCAAAAATCCCTTAAAAATAATGTTTGCGGGATACATAGCGTTGTGCACGGGATACATTAGGTTTGATACATTCCACATAGCGGGATACATAGCGTTGTGCACGGGATACATTAGGTTTGATACATTCCACATAGCGGGATACATAGCGTTGTGCATGGAATATATGCGGGATACATAGCGTTGTGCACGGGATACATAGCGTTTGATACATTCCACATAGCGGGATATATAGCGTTGTGCACGGGATACATAGGTAAAATAAGGGATTTTTGAAATTTTTGAAATAAGTAGGGATAAATGGATATTAAGGTAAGTAAATGAGTATAGTTAAGTAATTTGTCCTTATTTTTATTTATACACATGCAATTAACTAAACCCAATTTTTTTCACAGTCATACTCGTTAACCCAAACCCATTTCTAATTAAAAGACCCAATACTTTCTTCATTTTCCTTCTCCAAAATTATTTGGAGGAATTAATAAAGTACAGATTTTCAAGATATGTTGAATTTTACTTGGTTTTCAATATTAAAACAGGTTAACATCAGTCCCGTCTTCTAGCAAAGCCTTGTACATTATATTTGTCCCACTGACTCTCAAGATGTAAGCAGTGTTTCTAATTCGAGTTCTCTTTCTCCATCAACGTTACTAATTCACCTGTTTTCTACTCTGTATGCACTTGGATGCTTCTGATAACTTGTCGACAAGTCAGATTCTGCTGATGATTGAGATTTTTCGCTTTTTGACTTGGATACTTCTGATAATTCTCGCCATCTCCATGCTTTTGTTTTCTTAAACAAGTTCATGACCTTAACCAGTTATACTCTTCCGAGGATGATGCCCAACACTTTATTAATTCACCAAATAATTTTGGAAAAGGAAGATGAACAAGGGTTAATGAGTATCATTGTGAATGAAATTGGATCTAATTAATTACATGTGGACCAATAAAATAATACCACATATTTAATTAAAGAATTTTTTATGCCACATCAATTTCTGTTAAAAAAAAAGGGTAATTTTAGGCTCAAATTTAACCTTAAGGGTATTTTTTATCCAAATAGGTGGATGAAAGGGCATTTTTTATCCAATAGGTGAAATGAGGGTATTTTTGAGCCATTTCCAATACGTTAAGGGCATTTTTTTTTACCCTTTTTCGTATATAAATGATATATTAAAGGGATAAGGGTCAAAAATACCCCTCAACTTTGGTTTATTGTTTGACTTTGCCCATGCTGTTAAACGAAAGTTAATTTTACCCCTACTGTTACTAATTTCACCATATATACCCCTCATTTGACGGAAAGTCCCAAATTAACCCGAGTTCTTAACAACGACCCATTCTCCATTTTAAACCCAATCCCCCGACCCATATAACTCATTCTCTCAAATTAACTTGAATCCTCCATTGAAGCCCTGTCAACTACTTCAAACAATCATCAATCTCCTCTCTTCGTCCCCCAAATCCTCTCTCCGATCCTACCTTCCTCACCTCACTCCTCCTATTATCCACTCCTACCCAAATCATCACTCTCTTCTCTTCACCTCTTAAGAAATTGACCAACAGAAAACATAACTGTTGTGCATAATTCTTCCAAATATCTTAACACAGTTATGCCATCTTGAGATGTCGAAAACAAATTCCACTATAAGGTTTTCAGGAACAAAGCATGAAGTAACTAAAGCACTTTCAATACTTGAATTGCTGCTGTAACATCGTCTATACATCCACCAGCACCCTGAAAGTGAACCAATACGATCACATTATGAAAGAGTCAATCCAAAATTTAAAGTTAGTTGCTTCATAGCATCTCTGTTTGACAATGAAAGTTGACTTAAAATAGATAAAATGAATTAAAACATCAAAAACATATATAATTGGAATT